ATTCTTCATTGAAGGAAATGAGGGCTTTGTGTCACTCAAGCAACAAAAATAGGAACAAAAATTATAAGGAAAAACAATGAAAAACTAAGCTCCTAGAGGCCCATTGACCTCACCATAGATGCCTCCTCCGATGTATCCAAAAAGCTCATCAATGCTTGTGGAGAGGGAGTCGGCGCTGCGAGAAGTAGGCACTGCGTTGACAAGAGTAATAGGAGCATCGGCCTGAGGGACACGCATAGAGCCAAAAGTAGGAGCAGGTGTAGGAGTCTGGGCAGGAGCTGAGGCCACAGTCTCTGCAACTGGTGCCGAGTTTGACACTTGAGAAATTCCAGAATCTTCAGCTACAACTTCAGAAGAGGCTTGCACTATCTCCTCAGAGGGAATGTATTCATGCTTTTTGAAGAGTACAGAGTCGGCAGCGACCCTAGCAGCCCGAAGTGCCTAGTCCCAGCCAGCCTTGAAGTATTCCTTATTATTTTCCTCAAAGGCCACCAGGATGTCATCGGCGTAGTGGTTAACAATCTCTTACTCAGTCTTCTTGTTGGCCTCTAGCTCAGCCCTCAACTTGTCCAACTCTTGGGTTAGAGCTGCACAAGTCTGCTTCGCCTCCACCGACGACAACTGCTTCATTGCCTCAATTATCCTCTTCCCTGCGTCGACAAGCGAGGCCTTCACCTTCTCGGCATCCCCTTTGGCAGCTTCACTCTCCTTGAGGAGCTCAGCAATTTGGGCCACCTAGGAGGACAAGGTCTTGTCCCGAGCCGCCACCTCCTCCTTCGCCGAGGCCACTGCCCTTCTGACCTTTTTCAGCTCAGCTTGGAGCCTCTTACACTCCTGGATCCTCCTCTCCCTATGGGCACGAAAACGCTCAATGATGACTGAGATATCTATTGGGCAGTTTGTTAAGCGAATAAAGAAAGGAGTTACACCGACAGAGGAACGAAGCAAAAAGGAAAAAAGAAAAACTCAAAGTATAAGAGCCTTACCACCGGCGAGCTCTAGATGATGGAGCAGAAGAGTTGGTTGCTCGCACTCACCCGATGCACCGTCATGTCGGCATCAAACAGGATTGCCTCACTCACGACATAGGTAGTGTGGGGGGAGGCAGTGAGGGAGTTGGTTACCTGGACCAGTCTGTTGTCCCGATCTTGGGCCTTTCCACACCACTCTAGGGCAGTCAACGTCGACGTCGGCGCTGGAGGAGGCTTTGGCGTTGAGGTTGAAGTTGGTGTCATTGTGATTGGAGTTGGCACCAATGTTGGAGGCAGAGTAGGAGTGCCCCTGCCTTGACCGACACCGTCGTGTCTTTGCTTGACTCTTCTGTCCTCTTGCTGAAGATCCCTAGCATGCCCTCGACCGCGTCCTGTGGGTGTTGGCGAGACTAGGGCATCCGAAGGTAGAGGAGAACGCCCTTGTTGGGGGTAATGTTAGAGCCAGAACCTCGTCCCCTTCCGGCGGCAAGGGCAGCTCTCTCCCTGATCAGGCCGATATTAATGCGAGGTGGATTTGACATGGCAACCTCGAGTGCTTCTTCTTCGTCTAAGTGTTGAAGGACAATGAAGTCTAGCCATTTCTCTCTGCCCGATGTGCTGGTCTCCGCGTGGATGGTGGTGGAGGGATCCCTGATCTCTACAACCTCGTCAGCTATGTCTTCAGCAGCCTCTACTTCGACTTCTGTTGTTCTGTCGGGACCCTCATCCAAGTTCTCACCAGATAACCTCGACCACCTTGAAAGATCAAACGATTGAGGTGTTTGAGAAAACTTCTTGTACCCCGGGTTATAGTCAAGAAACATGTGAGCAGCCGACCAAATCCGTTACCAAGGTACCCCCAAACAATGATGATGTCGATGAGGTTGACAAGATGATGAGGGGGAGTAAACTCAACGTCAGAAACTCCTGCACAGAAAGACAAGATGGTGATTTGAACATAAGCAACCCACTGAGGTGGTANCGTTACCAAGGTACCCCCAAACAATGATGATGTCGATGAGGTTGACAAGATGATGAGAGGGAGTAAACTCAACGTCAGAAACTCCTGCACAGAAAGACAAGATGGTGATTTGAACATAAGCAACCCACTGAGGTGGTCAAAGCCGAGAGAAAAGAGATAAATCGACGTACTTGTTGTTCACTACTGCTTGGGACACTACAAACTGTCATATTCGGAGCTAACTCCTCTCTCCCATCCACCACTAAAGACCAGCAGGTCATCCTTGTACCCCTTGTCCGAGTCAGGGAGTGTGTCACGAGGTACATAGAGGTGTCTCGGGCCTTCAGGTAAAAGTTTTGTTTGGGCATCACCCTCAGCAAAGAGTAGCAGAAAAGGATATCCTCCAAGCCGAGATTGACTTGAAGGCGTTCATTCAGGGCCACCACTCCCATGATGATCCTAAAGGTGTTGAGGCAACACTGCCCCGGGAAAAGGCTGAATCGGGACAAAAAATGGTCGCCTCGGTGCCAGCATTGGCGCTGTGGCGTCTAGGGATGAACTCGTTCACAGCTACCCCAAAGAATGGAATAGTGGACCTTAAAATTGGAGATCTGTTGACAACCCTTGACTGTGTACTTCCTTGGCCTAGAGGTATCAGCCTCATCGGCCCTGACATCTTGACTCATACGACGTCTTGACATCATTTAAAACAGAAAAATAGAACTCGAGGTAGGGGTTCCTAAGAATGGGAAAACCCTAGAATGACTACTGTAAGTACTAGAAAGAATAAGGAAGACCAAAAAGGGTCTAGACACTGCTAGAACGAGAATGGGCAAGAACGAAAGGGATATGGTAACCAGAAAGAAGAAGAAAAGGAAGAAAAAAATAGTTACTCACTGAAAAACAGAAAACCCTGGTACAAAGAAAGGGGTTGGTGGCTTCCTTCTCCGGTGAACTCTAAGGAATTGATGGCTTTCTCAAGTGAATGTTGGTGTTTCTGGTTGAACTCCGGCGAAGGTCTCTGAGTTGGCTAAAGATGCAAAAATGGAGAAGGTGAGGCAAAGACTCTATTTATATAGAACCAGAAACCATGATTGCGCACAAGCCACGAAGTGGGGGGCATTAAATGGCACAATTTTTTAGGAAAGGAAAGCAGTTGAGGGAAAGGGTAGGAGTTATGCCCTTTCATCTTCTCACTCCACATCACTCACGTNCACTGCTAGAACGAGAATGGGCAAGAACGAAAAGGATATGGTAACCAGAAAGAAGAAGAAAAGGAAGAAAAAAATAGTTACTCACTGAAAAACAGAAAACCCTGGTACAAAGAAAGGGGTTGGTGGCTTCCTTCTCCGGTGAACTCTAAGGAATTGATGGCTTTCTCAAGTGAATGTTGGTGTTTCTGGTTGAACTCCGGCGAAGGTCTCTGAGTTGGCTAAAGATGCAAAAATGGAGAAGGTGAGGCAAAGACTCTATTTATATAGAACCAGAAACCATGATTGCGCACAAGCCACGAAGTGGGGGGCATTAAATGGCACAATTTTTGAGGAAAGGGTAGGAGTTATGCCCTTTCATCTTCTCACTCCACATCACTCACGCCGTATGAAGATCACGAGCTGGAGGCAGTTGATGGGACACTTCAAAGAATTAATACGAAATCGACACGTGTCATCAACTTCAAAGTTCCCTCGGTACCATCTGCGAGTGACACGTGTCCTCGACACAAAGGGTTTATAGAGTCCCTACGAGTGACTTGTGTCCTTGACATATGTCACCATGGGAGTTTAGATTATGACAAGTGTCCTCAGCGCGATTCCCCTGAGGCTTATTTTTAGATATGTCATCTCAGCTCATGGACCCTAAGACAAGGATTGAAGAATGACCAATATTGTTACTTTGAGTTAAACTCGATCAATAATCAATGACTTATTTTTCTAAAAGAAACAAACCCATTACTAATGATAATGTTACACGTGGCAAAGAGCACAAAATTAGGGGCCGATAGACAAATATTTTTACTTATACGCAACCATTACAGNCATCAACTTCAAAGTTCCCTCGGTACCATCTGCGAGTGACACGTGTCCTCGACACAAAGGATTTATAGAGTCCCTACGAGTGACTTGTGTCCTTGACATATGTCACCATGGGAGTTTAGATTATGACAAGTGTCCTCGGCGCGATTCCCCTGAGGCTTATTTTTAGATATGTCATCTCAGCTCATGGACCCTAAGACAATGATTGAAGAATGACCAATATTGTTACTTTGAGTTAAACTCGATCAATAATCAATGACTTGTTTTTCTAAAAGAAACAAACCCATTACTAATGACAATGTTACACATGGCAAAGAGCACAAAATTAGGGGCCGATAGACAAAAATATTTTTACTTATACGCAACCATTACAATAAAGCATTAAATAACCCTTGAGAAGGATGAGACGTATTTAATACTCGAAAAGTTTAAAGGGAAGAGCATTAAATGCTTGGAAAGCTGAGCATTTAATGCATGAGCCCTTTTCACACAAAATGAAAGGTGCTCGGTTCAAGAACTGAGCATCACCCACTGTCTTCCAAATGGGCCAATGGAAAACTTCTTTTTCGAGGGACTCACCTGTCAGTAATAATCACTTCTAAAGAGGTATAAATAACTCTCATAAACTAAAAACAGAGGTACGCAAGCCATATTCAAGCAATAGAATAGTGAATCCCTTTCAACACGTCGAAATCGAGCGGACAACTAGAAAAGTAATTCATTACTACTCCTTATGATCTTTTTCACTTCCTTTTATCTTGGGATCCTCAACTTTCAAGTAAATCTCGTGTTCACAAAAAAATTGAGATCTGTCTGTTTCTTTTATTGTGCAAAAATCATCACGCATAGTAATAATACTAGTTTGCGATCAAAAGAGGAACACTATAAATGTATATGAGCAAGCCATCAAACTTTAATTGCAAACTTCATTTCTTACCCAAAATTTATACAACAATGCCCAAGGCCCTGCCGCTCACCAGGGGGAAAAAAGGATAGAATTTGACCCCCCCTCCCCTCCCCCTCCCCCTCCCCCCTTCTCTCTCTCTCTCTCCTGCACGAACATATTTACAGGTTTGTTCTACTTTCACCATTCTACAGACTACAAACAGTACAGTAACTTTACAAGGTCTGCAGCAATGTGATCCCTCTCTTTCTTTTCTATTTTTTCTATTTTTTTTGGGTTTTCCACTGAGCATTTCGGCCTAATGCTTGAATGCAATGCTTCCTCATCTTCCCAAATGGGAATACACCACCATATCCATGACCTGCATAAACTTTGGAGATGTTTAAAAAGCGGTTTCAACAGGTAGCTATAACTAGAGAACTGGCACGGAGAACTGAAGGTTTAACAAAATCAGAAACCAATAAAACCAAAATCCACAAGTGTCTTCAATTCTGAGAAAAGATCATCGTATGGTTGTCGGTGACTGTTCCTCAAATTTGCTCATTGCAAGAAAAATTACCAACACCAAGTATAAAGCCCCGACTACTTCAAGTTGACTGCAAATTCCTCCAACAACGGTTACATGTATTGAGCCAACCATTGCTTGCACATATCAAGCACAGGAAGTGCATTAGCATGTAATGCCTGCACAAGAAAAAGGAAACAAAAATGGGGCTTAAGAAAGGATGACACCCAGTGTGTAACTATATTGATTCAATTTAAAGTGACTTTCAAAATCTGCTTCAAAGAGGAACCTCTCACATCACATCTATGTATTCTTTACAAATTGAACAATATGTTGACTAATCCCTTGTTTCAAATTGTTACCCATAGAACCTTTAAGGGGACATTTGACAGTGGCTTATATTTCATGGACAATACATTTCATACAACTCAGAAATATCTTCCGCCAGTTATGGTCATGTAAACTATAATGCCATTGCAAATATTCCACGTCAAGCTGCAAAAGAAACACAAAGACAAGATCCCAAGCAGACAGACATTTATCTACGAATCACATTATAGGACATTATATCATTTAATTAACACCATCTTGGCCATATATGCCCGTTTTGTTCCATGATGGTTGACCAGTAAAAGCCAAAATTCACCTCAAGCTAACTCCTACTCTCGCATTCCATTCTTCCTAAATATTTTCTGAAAAGGAATTCAAATGTGCGCATGCACAAACAAATAGAGGAGTATCACCGGGGCAGAAAGGCCCGGGGGGGGGGGTTACTAAAAATGTGGCTGTACCATAATCACCATACATATTAAAGGGCCCTAAACATTGCAGGAGTAAGCATGCCATATGTCTCCTGTCCAATTACCTTGGGACAATATTGAATATCCTCCTTTTATTTCCAAGTGTAGAAAGGTGATCTTAAATGGGAAGTCGTGCATTCATAAATAAGTTAGACGGTTTCAACCATGATTTCAATCAAATCCTTTTAGTGAATCCCTTCACAGTTTAAAGATCAGTCTTGGGTGAACTTTGGTAATTTTGCAGTCAAACTCCATCTTTCACAGTAAAGGACATTAATATGCTTGGTAAGGGACTCAGGCAAATGTATTAGCAACATTTTTTATAAACTATTTCAAAATACTACATAGAGAAAAACTCAAAAATTTCATCCCTTATGCAGAGTTGGCTGTTTCGTTATGTCACTAGTGTCTTTGAGTGCATCCAAGCATTTTATACCCTGTAATGCATAGTTCAAGGTCATGATCAACTCGCCTGAGACACATTGGTCATGACGTCGTGGAATGGTATTGACTTTTAGACATGAAATGCTTGATACCAAAAAATTCTAAAAAAAATGATGAAAATTTCTAAAAAATATAGACAATAAAATTAATGCATCATATATTGAAAATACATCATCTATCACAGTAAAATATAATGAAATAAATTGTATGGGTGTTACCGAAAATATATTTTATAAAGATAATGCTAGTTGGATTTAATTTGGGGACCTTATCCATTATTTTTTGCAAGATTAACTGTGGGTCCTAATATTGTATGGAGTCTAATGCCAATCAAATTACAAAAATATATTAGATGCTCACATTAAATTCCCAAATTAGATTTAAGTAACATTATTGATTAATTAAATATATCAATTAAAAGGCATAGATCAATTGATGTGTTAATACATTTAAAATTAAGACAAAATGATCACCTCAAAGAATAATAACAAACATAATACCTCAACTACATGGTAAAGGCTTGAAAAAGCATAACCATAGTTATTAGTATCGTACGATACGCGATACGTATCATACGATATGTTACGATACAGAAGTAAAACGATACGGATCGTAGTTATGTATCGTTTTTGCGTCGTATCATCCGATACACGATACGTTTTTACGATACGACCGATACGCGCAAAACCTTTTTTTTTTTTTTTGTTCCTGAAACGGCATCATTTTGTCTAAATAAGACACTAATTTTATTCCCGCCACTGATGAAACAACGTCGTTTTGTCTAAATAAGACACTAATTTTATTTTTTTTGTATAAAAATTTCTGAATCTTGATTAATTTTATGGATTGAGTTCAAAATGGATATTAGAACTTTAGATTAAAAGTCTCTTTGGTGTTTGAAGTTTGAATTAGTGAACTATGGTTGTAAACTTTACATTATAATATTAGTGAACTATGTTGATGACTTGAATAGGTGGTGGAGTATTAATGATATGCTATATTTTTATGAGTGTATAATTTTTTTTTAAAGGTATATATATTTTTTTATTATTTATTTAAAATTACACCGTATCTTACGATACACGATACGATACATTATTTTTAAAAAACGATATACCTTTCGATACACGATTTAATAACTATGGGCATAACAGTCATAAACATAATATTATAACATTAAAAGAGACTCAAAACCATTTGAATGTCTGATGCAAGAAATTGCCCCTTCAGTACCCTTTAGAGAGAGAGAGATTACTCCAAGCAAAGTCAAGATCAAAGACCACTTGTGATCAAGTGGTACCTAGTGTGCAATCTTTGTGGGATGGTGAAGACAAGAAGAACCGAAAAATAAGACAGGATTTGTTTTAGTGGGGAGGCTCATTCCAACGCTTTGATTTTGTGGGTAAATGACGAATCTCAAATTGTCTGAATCAGTTTCAAGTTCATCCAAGTCAGCCAAGTTATATTCGAGTCAAGACCATTCGCATAGGACTCATTAACGTGTCTCGTTATCGGTTTAATATCCGACTAGGCCAAGTCATATCATAATCAACTGATATTTTGAACCTCGTCGTAGTGAGAACAGTGAAATAGATAACCCCATCATGTTTACTTGTGGGCAACCACCTAAATTGTCCAGATTGTACGTGGCATGATATATTGAGCATTTCACAAACTCAACATATCATTTCCTAATAAATTCATCCTGTGAACACATGGGCAATCCAATAAATGCCTTGCTCGCATGCAATCAAGGAAGAATGCAAAAGAAATCATCCATGCCTTAAGCGAACTCATGTCAACCTTGAGCCAGTCAACCAGGTACCCAAGCCGAGAACTATTTAAGCAGAAATAATATAATGTTAATTTTGTTTCAATGATCCAAGAATTTCAAATTATTGTACCTCTTCTTTATCTATTTCGATATAAATCCGTATTCTTTTAAGCAATTTTTGGACAAAAATAACGTGAATATCAATGTCATGAGTTTTAAGTTCATCAACAGATGTTTCTTAAGCATGAATTCAAATAAAAAAATTCGACCAAAGCCCCACTACCAAGAGCGATACAGTGTTTCTTTAATTGAGACAACAGGCTAATATATTCTGACAATGAAAATTCAGTATGAGAGGAAATATATACCTGGTGTGCAACATATTGAACGTCAGCCACACTTCCACTCCGAGAAGCAAATTGAAATGCACTTTTGAGACGACCACATACCACACAAGCCAGCACCTTCCTGCACACCCAAGCTTGGAATATGAGTAGGCATTCAAAGTTTGCATTACAAGTTAGAAAAATAAGGAAAGGGACGGGAACAAGGACACAATCAGCTGTTATGAAGTAATGTATCCATATTCCTGTGAGTGAGAGAATCTCAGAAAGTTAAAATCCCCCACCTCTCACAGGCTCCTTTTCTTTTTGCGAGTAGGTATTTAAACGCATGACACAAGCACAGGTACAGTTTAAAATACAGTATTACAAAAAAAGGTCATGGAAACTTTAAGATGTTGCTCCCGAGGTTTCTAATGGCTACTATCTAATGATACCAAAAATTTGGCTTCATTAACTCACAATAGTTCAAGAGATGAATCTCACAATAAATCATGTATTGCTACTTTGTTAACAATTTAGCTTCATATAATAAATGAATTTTTTTTTTCCACTTTTTCCGGAGTGGAATGGGTGCTAAGCACTAACTTCAACCTATTAATAACAAAAATTCACTGCGCCAGTTCCAAACCAGACTAATTAAGATAGTCATGGTGTAAAGGGATGCAAGGATTTAACATGGGGCACCTCAACCCTGGCCAAATGCACCGAGAGGAATACAAGCCAACATCAGGACAGGTTACCACCTATATATCATCCCAGAATAAACCCCAATCTTACTATTCTGCACAATTAATGATCAGGCAACCAGACTTGATGACATGATTATACTCCTACAATCCCTCATCTGGAATTCAAGAAGAATATAATCAAACTCGACCTAAAACAACTAGAGCACTCTCTTCCTTGAACCCTATGAGAGCAATGCACCAAAAGGAAATCAAAAGGATTTAAAATGATTTGACCTAAAAATGAACATACTGAATGTAATTTTTATAGAAGTAGAACTACAAGGAGGTAAAAAAGATTGAAGATCAAAGAGTAAACACTTTTGATATTTAGGGTCAATTATCCATAGAGAGGGTAAGATTGAAGAAGGTGTTACTCATAAAATTAACACACAATGGATTACATGGAGCAGTGGATATGGTGCATTATGTAATTAACGTATATATTTAAAGCAAAAATGTAAGTTCCACAATACAACTGGTAGACCAGCAAGCAATACTTTATGGTACAGAATATTGGACAATTAAGAAACAGCATACTCAAAAGCTATGTTTGGCTGAAATGCAGAAGTTAAGATGGATGTCTCATAATATTAGAAAGGAAAGAATTATGAAAAGGTAGGTAGTTTGGACATGTTTATAAACGACCTATTGAGGAATGTAGTCAACAACAATACAAAATTGGGACAAGGCTTTGTTGACTTGAGTCTGTTTAGTTTAGATAATTGAAAAAAGATTGTCCAATTCCACTTCCATAGAACTAGCCAGTAAAACAATTATAATACCATGAACCAATCAAGTATTAGAGCACTTTTGTCTGCATCTGTGCTGAATTTCTCCAAGGACACTGTATTAAATGGAAATGTACCTGTGACTACTTGTTAACATGTCAATGAGGCGGTCAGGGCGTTCTTTGTGTTTGTTAGCATACACGTTGATTGCTGCCCCCAGAACCTACAAAAGAACCATAGAAAATGCTTACTCACAGAATATCCTAATATTCAGGCCAACCATGAATAAATATTATATTTAAGACACAGGACTGGGAAAATATGTGAAACCTATAGTGCAAGTAAGTAAAATATTTAAGCTGCGTTTGACCACTGTAAATTGGAATTAGAGAAAAATGGGTAAACTTTGAACTAGATTTTTTCTGATTGCAATTCCAACATCCTAGTTCTATTTTGAGAATTGGTGTCTAGTAACCATCAAAAGCTCATTTGTCTTCAGTGATTTAATAAGATCAAATCCTTCTTCGAGTATTCACAAATTTCTATTACCAAAGATTCACCTTCGGGAATTTTGCTGAGGTGTGGTATTTCTACTAATTCTGCAGATGTTGCACCACTTGGGTACCATGTTACTATGTTCTCTTCAATTACTATGTTATCTAACCATTTACACGTGTTTCCGACAGNAACATCAGGACAGGTTACCACCTATATATCATCCCAGAATAAACCCCAATCTTACTATTCTGCACAATTAATGATCAGGCAACCAGACTTGATGACATGATTATACTCCTACAATCCCTCATCTGGAATTCAAGAAGAATATAATCAAACTCGACCTAAAACAACTAGAGCACTCTCTTCCTTGAACCCTATGAGAGCAATGCACCAAAAGGAAATCAAAAGGATTTAAAATGATTTGACCTAAAAATGAACATACTGAATGTAATTTTTATAGAAGTAGAACTACAAGGAGGTAAAAAAGATTGAAGATCAAAGAGTAAACACTTTTGATATTTAGGGTCAATTATCCATAGAGAGGGTAAGATTGAAGAAGGTGTTACTCATAAAATTAACACACAATGGATTACATGGAGCAGTGGATATGGTGCATTATGTAATTAACGTATATATTTAAAGCAAAAATGTAAGTTCCACAATACAACTGGTAGACCAGCAAGCAATACTTTATGGTACAGAATATTGGACAATTAAGAAACAGCATACTCAAAAGCTATGTTTGGCTGAAATGCAGAAGTTAAGATGGATGTCTCATAATATTAGAAAGGAAAGAATTATGAAAAGGTAGGTAGTTTGGACATGTTTATAAACGACCTATTGAGGAATGTAGTCAACAACAATACAAAATTGGGACAAGGCTTTGTTGACTTGAGTCTGTTTAGTTTAGATAATTGAAAAAAGATTGTCCAATTCCACTTCCATAGAACTAGCCAGTAAAACAATTATAATACCATGAACCAATCAAGTATTAGAGCACTTTTGTCTGCATCTGTGCTGAATTTCTCCAAGGACACTGTATTAAATGGAAATGTACCTATGACTACTTGTTAACATGTCAATGAGGCGGTCAGGGCGTTCTTTGTGTTTGTTAGCATACACGTTGATTGCTGCCCCCAGAACCTACAAAAGAACCATAGAAAATGCTTACTCACAGAATATCCTAATATTCAGGCCAACCATGAATAAATATTATATTTAAGACACAGGACTGGGAAAATATGTGAAACCTATAGTGCAAGTAAGTAAAATATTTAAGCTGCGTTTGACCACTGTAAATTGGAATTAGAGAAAAATGGGTAAACTTTGAACTAGATTTTTTCTGATTGCAATTCCAACATCCTAGTTCTATTTTGAGAATTGGTGTCTAGTAACCATCAAAAGCTCATTTGTCTTCAGTGATTTAATAAGATCAAATCCTTCTTCGAGTATTCACAAATTTCTATTACCAAAGATTCACCTTCGGGAATTTTGCTGAGGTGTGGTATTTCTACTAATTCTGCAGATGTTGCACCACTTGGGTACCATGTTACTATGTTCTCTTCAATTACTATGTTATCTAACCATTTACACGTGTTTCCGACAGAGGATTAAACTTATGATTCAAAAATTTGTCTGATCTAGCAACTTTTTTTTTTTTTTGCATGATAAAACATATAGTACCTGGTCCCAATCATCATCATCTATTGTGCCCTTAATATTTCTGAAAAACTCAGTCAGCTGTCCTCCTTTTTTTCTCTCAGCAAGTGATGATGCAATGCCAGCATATATGTCAACAGCTGGAGAAATGTCAGTTGAAATGAATATAATCTCCAAGAGATAACTGAAAAGCTAATGCTCTATGCACGGAAAGACAAACACAAATAAACAAATTTCATATTGTAATGACTACCAGGAAGATTGAATGCATAGATCACTTGGAAAGCCAAGTCAAAATTCTTCTCAGCAAGAGTCTCTGCAATCTCACACCTTCTCCTGCGTTTTCAGCAAACACATTGGGGCAGCTGTGATATACCAAGGATAGAAAAATCCAGTAACATTTTAAGTGACAGAGAAAAACCTTATTTAGCTAAATAATGTTGCATATACAATAGCAGAGGTGAAATCTAAGGTAAGGGTTCCACAGGATATGAACATAAACAATTATTTTTTAATACAAAAAAGTCCAACATGGTGAATCATAAATCATAACAAGAACTTCACACAGTAGATCAAAGCGGAACATTGATTAGATGTGGTAAAACAACCTACGTACTATTGTAAAACTATATAATCGGAAACCAATAAAGCGGGTGTGTCAATAGGATTTCAGCTACTACTCCATTGCACAGCATTCCACCATGCAGTTAGACTTCGCATGGATCTTTGCAAAATTTGAATATTGGAATATGTGGAGTATAGTTCCACTGTATCCACCATTTCACGGCAGGAAGGGGATTCATTAGTTTCTTTTCCATTCATGGGAGGTTCATGGGCAAGTCGCAGTAAGTTGTTTTGCCTCATTTCCACATGTTCAAATAGGGTTTTTCTTGAGCTGCTTTTACAGCATTTTTTATACCCTGCTAGGGTTTTAGGAAGCTTATCCTTCCTCCTGCAGGATATTCTGGTCCTTTCCAACATTATGCATTCCACTGGTAATGTCCTTGCTGAATGATACTCATGGTTGCTAGACAACTCACCATCCCCACCTGGGAGGGGAAAAGGAAAAGTCTCTAGGCTATTTATTCATACAAGGAGGGTGCAACTTTGGCACCCAATATTAATTAGAGTCTAAACGAATTAGGAGAAAAAATCCAAAACGCTGCAAACCTGAAAGTTTCAGGATCATTTGGATTTCCAAAAAGAGAATGTTTCCACTGTTGCCCATCTGTGTCATTAAAGGATCTCACAACATCCACCTAAAATCCAAGAAGAATATAAACATTCAACCCGTGTGTGCATGACAATGAAAGTAAAACACTTCAACTTTGCAAATATATAACTAAATTAAACTTAGAAGAAAAAAATAACAATGAAAAATATATATTTAAATGAAAGGAAAAAAAGAAAACAAGATTGAGCAACTTAATAGCAGAGTGCAAGTAAACATTCTGTCTTTTTATTTGATATGGTCCCAAAGCCATCAGGGTGACACTTATGGCAAACTAAAGACAAAAAAACCCTTTCAGGCATCCATCTGGATTTCCACAAAAAGGTGGCAGAACTCAAAAGCTCCTCCATACACTTAAAATTAAGTATATGAATTGTGTGAAGAGAACTTGTATATCACATCAAAATACTAAAGCCACAAAATTGGTTTATTTTATTGAAGGGCGCTTGATGTAGGACAGCTGTGTAAAATCAAACTATGGGCTGTTTTGGGGATGTGAACAGTAACGTGAACAGTAAAATAGGCTGGGAATCACTCTTAGGATTCCTTAGGCATCACACCTAGGGGTTAGAATCGCATCACACAACTCAAAAAAAATATAATTGCTGAATTTCTGAAATATCTCTCTATCTTTTATTAAAAGTGACACTAAGTACTCCTAATCCCAAAAGATTAGAATTCCAAAGTCTCTAAGACTCCAAAAACTCTATGTCCCTATAAATTAGAAAACTAAAATTATCTAAAACTAGGACTTACTAATTCCAAAAAATTTGGAAATTACAATAATACCCCGAATTTATCAAATATAGAAAACCCACATAAAATACTAATACTAATACTACTAAACTAACTCAAAGCAACTTAAAATAAGACTCCATTTATGCTTATGCAAGCTCCCAAGTAGGCTCCACATCATCCAACATATGTCAAATTAAGGCTTGAGCCTTGGAAGCATATTTCCCTCGCCTTTAATAAATTTTATAAGGTTATTGCCATTTGTCCCCGTTAGCTCTCCATGTAATACCAATTTGTTTTAGTTGAATGTCTCTAACATGATATCAAAATTGGGCCTTTGATGGTTAGCAGGCCAAGTATTTCATCCCTTTGAATGCCCCCATTTGCTTGTCAGCCCGTTTTGGTTTGATTTGTTATCCCACATGTAACCTCTCCACCTACTGCTAAATAGGCTCTCGGTTAAATGCCTCTATCAAGCTGCAATGCCAATCCATGTTGTTCATTCATTGTAATAAGCAGTGAATCAATTCCATGCATTCTCCATCTCCATAAAAACTATACCTCTCTAACACCCACATGGCCCGAATCCTCTAATCCTTGATCTAGTTTGAAGGATAAGATAATATGGCAGGTAATGGAGGAGGAGGAACATCTATGAATCTTGTCAGTAGCTTAAGCAGCAGCTTTTTAATATGTGAACATTTTCCTGATCAGATTGCTTTCATCATACATGTAACAAATCCAATTTCCTGGTTACATTGATTTCATCGTACAACAATGAAACCTCCTCAGACATAACACCAAACAACATATAATGTTCAATTTCAATAAGGTGATTTTTAGTTTTAACAACCTGAATGGCAACCCGAGCAGACAACTTGACAAGTCCTTCTTCAGTAAGCTTTTCAGAGGCACTTTTCCCTCGAATGCCCTTGGAGACAAATTTAGTGGAATCTCCTACTTTATATCGAGCTGACAGTCCTTCATCAAAATGCATCTACACCAAAATGGAGAATTAATCAGAAAATAAGGGAAGTAATACACATCAGGAAATTCGCAACTAAAACAAAACTATTTATTTTCCCAAAAGTAACATAATCTCAAATGGGAAATATCATTTCTAACGAGGGCTGATTTGTGGTATTTTCCAAACAAAAGCAGCATATACTGCATTCAGAAACAATTTTTACATGCAGCACTGAAAATAGTTGTGTAACTCCATTTCTTTTCCTATTTTCTTTTGTCGAATTTTAATTGAACAATGTTTCAAGGCCCGAATCATTCAAAACATATGCTCACCAAATTGAACTCCCAATACATGAAATAGATTGCATATAAAAGACAGGTACCATAACAAAAATTAAGTGGCTTCTGTTTTCTTTTAACCTTTTTCTTAGTTGAGGAATTGGGTTGGGGATACTAGCCTCTCAAATTATAGATAACTACTAGTGGCATTGCTGCTGGCAAAGTTTCCAAGGATTTGAAGAACCTCAAGGCTCAAGTGCTGTTGTAATTAGATGATGTTCTGGGTGAGTGATTAAAAAAGCCAAGTGTTTAAATAGTGCACAGGATACAATGGTGAATCAAAGGTGCATCCAGAATTCTTCTACAAGATAATAATTATCCCCAAAACTGCAAGTCATATTGGTGTAGTTTTTGTCCCCCAATTTTAAACTACCCAGTATAAATAAGAACCAAATATCCACAGAACATTTGTTCAATTATATGGCTTTTGTGTCAGGCAATAAGATTGAAAGACCTTTACTGAAGTCATGCTTAACATGTTCCTACCAAAGAAGAAAAAGGAAAATCCAGTTGTTCAGTCAAACTCTATGCCTTTTACTGCTATTGAGTAATATCGCTCCCTCAAAATCAACAAAGAAATTAAGTTAGGGGAGTATTGACTAACCTTGGCATGTTCCAAGTGTTTTATGGCTTCCTCTTGAGAAGAAGAGTTCATGAACAACTGGATACAGCAAAGTCCAGCAGCCACATGATCCTTTTTTATCACCTGAATCATCAAGCCAGTTTTAAATTAACAAAGAAGATAAATCTGCTTCAATAAAAGTAAAAGTGAAAAAGAAAGAAGATTAAATATGAAATTGTCAATTTTATTAAATTCTATTTGTAGGGGAACTGTGACACACTAGCCAACCCTAACAATGGCCATGAATAAGAAGACATATAGCAGAACCCATATAAGAAAGAAAATATGCACAGTAGGCATCTTTGGGAAGGACAATGTCAGTCTTTTACTGTGTAAAACAAAGCCGAGCATAAAAGTGCAATTCTGCCAAAAAGTAAAACATGATGTCCTTTCTATATGGAATGTTCTGTGTTGGAACTGTCCTCTCTATTCAAATCATGAATAACTAACCATCTTAGACAGTAAGTGGGCATATTGGAACTCAACTGATAGTGTATGAAAAATACATGTTTTGCAAGTTACATACTCACTGCTTTCTTTCTTTTCTTCAATTTTGCTATTTCTCTTCCCTTTGTGTAGTTCTATTGGTCCAGAACGCACTCATAGTGTTTTTGCATAAAAAGTTTCCATCAAAAATGGTGCCTCAAGAACACAAAGTAGATTGAGCTTCTAAGATGAGAATTCCAAGCACACACAGAGAAACATCCAGGTGATGATTTTACTTTTTGAGATTTTAATCTAAATGGGGAAATAAAAAAAAATGACATCTAATGTACCTGAAACTTGTATAGATAATTGAAATGCTTATGAGTTTCACAATAGACACAAATGCGGTTAAGTGCTGCAGCAGTATACTGATTCACCACGGCATCTTGTGATATTGCAAAGGACATTCTCGTAGATATCACTTCCTCCAAGATGGGCATGGCACCATAACCAATGCACAAGTCACTCAAATCATCAATGGTCCCATAATCAGTTGCCAAAGGATCTGGTCTCTGAGGGGAAGAAGATGAAGTAACCACGCCCAATGATGAGGGTTGAGGAGGCGGAGGAACGGTATTCAAAGGAAAAAACAACATGCAAGCATCCTGATAGTGACCATGTCTAAACATAAAACCAAGCAAATGCTGGCGTGCGTACTGCAAAGTAGAAACATATAGCATTACAGACCTGACAATCATGAGATATTAAAGAAACATTCATCAGCTAAAGCATACCAGCTTGCACAATCAACGACTTGAAATATTCACATGGATGAATCATTTACATAAGCTTACTTAAATAGGAAAACAGGGTGCACTTGTAGACATATTGGTTGATGCACATGCAAATTCAAAACAAAGTCCGGAATGTAGACCAACATTAGGATAGAGTTGCAGCTTACATCTTGTAAATAGTTAATGCATTCGAGGTATCTGACACTGTCCAAGTTGCTACGAGGTCCGTCTTCAAAATCTGGGCCAAGCATGGAATTATCACTTGCAGCTTCTTGAGAACGCCTGGATCTCTCTGAACGTGGAAATGTAGATGGCATGTACAAAACATTAAGATAGGAATCAGCAGAAAGAGAATCGTCCAAGATAGCTGGTGCACTTCTAGCCAAATGTTCATACCTACGTTACAAATTGCATTAGTCATATACTACAGAATGACAAATACATATTTAATTTATTTTTCTTTATGATTGGCACTATTAATATCCACCAACATAGCATCTTAAGGATCCCAGCCAAGATAAATCCATGCCACCCAAAAAGAATGATATAACTCAAACAGAAACACTTGTATCATGCATGTATACTAATATAAACTAATAAGCATACTCTTGCATCCATATGTGATGCAAATTTCTATTTTTTATTTTAACAGTGGGAGGCTCACACAACGGGCTATTAGCCCAATGGTAGAAAGTGCCACTGATAATCGCATTGTTGTGCCTGGGCTGTGGAGGCTGTCAGCCACTGTAATAGTTCAATGTGCTCATTGGTGCCTGAACTTAAGCTGTGAACCATCGAAGTCAGATTAGCAAGGCGTATTCCTTCGAAGCGGGGTGCAAAACCAAACTTTTCTAGAGGATAAATGGGGTGATTCGGGTGAGACCCAATGTAGATCTAGCTTTCAACTCACTCTTGGATCCGGGCAGTCCCCAAGAGAGGGGAGGGGTGGACCACGGGTGAAACATATTGCATACAAACTATAACAACTTACCAGATGTTAAGTCCTCTAAAAAAACTTCCATTTTTAGTCCATAAAGCAGGCCAAATGGAGTTAGCAGAAATATCAATCTAAACAAAATGGAATGTAAACTGCTTACATGGAACGAACAGATGAAACATCAACTGGTGGACCTCCTTCAATTGTATTGATGATTTCAAGAATTACAGGTGCAGAGTCACCCTTAAGCAATTGGAGAGCTTGCCTACACACCCAAGTGTTTAAAAGTTAGAAGTGTTCTGGTAACCATCCGGTAGTTTAATTGTTCGTTCTTTTGCCCAAAAAAACTCAAACGACAAATATGAATGTAACATACTTGAATTTCACACGAGCTTGTGCATAATGCTCCATCCGAATCAAAGCAAGACCCCAGGCATTCCACACTGGAAAAACCTCAATCTGAGTGGATCCAACATATAGAATCAGCATGATGGAAAGTGATCAAAGAGGGCAAATAAATGCTATTATTTCTATGTATTACATGCCTTGCACTTCTTGCAAGTATATACAGCCATGCTGTATCTTTCATCTAGAATCAACCGATCTCGGAGTCGTGCGGATGACTCTTTATCGGCTATATCATCAAGCGAGGCAGCGATTCCTGATCCCAGAAGGCTCTGCAATAGCTCAGCGCGTCCTAGCCAAATGTCAGCTTGTGACAAAGCTTCAGACAGCTCATCTGTTGACTGATTACTGACATTAGAGCTGCCAGCATCTGAAGATGCATCATCAGCATCTCTACTTCTTTCAGAATTGCTTGACAAGTCACTGCCCCCAGAAAGCTTTCTGAGCTGTGATTTAGCAAAAAACAGACCCTACACAAGGAACATGAATAATTGCAGCAGCAATCCATGCATATGATTTTGTTAACTGAAGCCTATGTCACAGATACATATTCAGCAATTTTTGAAAGAGTAAATTCACAGATACCTGTACAAATGTTTCTGTGGCATGATACGCCCGACCAATGGTTTCCATTGATGCATTTTCAGGCAACTGTTGACCACTCAACACATTTTTCATATGTTTAATGCACAAGTCTAAAGCACCTTTGGCAGATACACTCTCGTCTGAACACAATGAAAGCAGTGCCTAGAAACATAGTATGCAACCTTTCAGAGATCAACAACGGCATATGTTGAAGCATAGAATTAAACTACAAGGTAGAGCACCATCCCATATGTACAAACCGCAAGAACATAAGACCTATGTCATAATTCACACCCAGGAGACAACATGCATAAACTGAAGGCACAAAGAAACCACATTGGGATTGTACTGTTCGGTGCTGGGAAAGCCTAAAATGCTTTTAATGGAAGATTTTGTTTCTTCCATTGATATATGAACCACAGGTTCACTCATTTGGCATGGCCATATCTGCTGAATTTGATTGAGAAATTATGAGATACAGGAACAAAAAACAACCTATGAAGATATTGGTGCAATACTATCGTCTTTATTTTTTAAGTATTCCACAGTTAGATTTCAGAGCATCCATTAAAAATTGAATACGTAGACCGTAGTTACAGAAAGGACTAGAAGCCGACTTTATCTACTGGTCCGCTGCACAAAATAGACATGTATATAAGCTTGGATGGTAATGTATACATTTCTTCTCTAAAGCCACTCAAAAACTGGAGGCAAGAGTGCTCAGCTCTCTAACAAATAACATCCCTGAATTTATTTTATGACATCAAACACTNCTATGTATTACATGCCTTGCACTTCTTGCAAGTATATACAGCCATGCTGTATCTTTCATCTAGAATCAACCGATCTCGGAGTCGTGCGGATGACTCTTTATCGGCTATATCATCAAGCGAGGCAGCGATTCCTGATCCCAGAAGGCTCTGCAATAGCTCAGCGCGTCCTAGCCAAATGTCAGCTTGTGACAAAGCTTCAGACAGCTCATCTGTTGACTGATTACTGACATTAGAGCTGCCAGCATCTGAAGATGCATCATCAGCATCTCTACTTCTTTCAGAATTGCTTGACAAGTCACTGCCCCCAGAAAGCTTTCTGAGCTGTGATTTAGCAAAAAACAGACCCTACACAAGGAACATGAATAATTGCAGCAGCAATCCATGCATATGATTTTGTTAACTGAAGCCTATGTCACAGATACATATTCAGCAATTTTTGAAAGAGTAAATTCACAGATACCTGTACAAATGTTTCTGTGGCATGATACGCCCGACCAATGGTTTCCATTGATGCATTTTCAGGCAACTGTTGACCACTCAACACATTTTTCATATGTTTAATGCACAAGTCTAAAGCACCTTTGGCAGATACACTCTCGTCTGAACACAATGAAAGCAGTGCCTAGAAACATAGTATGCAACCTTTCAGAGATCAACAACGGCATATGTTGAAGCATAGAATTAAACTACAAGGTAGAGCACCATCCCATATGTACAAACCGCAAGAACATAAGACCTATGTCATAATTCACACCCAGGAGACAACATGCATAAACTGAAGGCACAAAGAAACCACATTGGGATTGTACTGTTCGGTGCTGGGAAAGCCTAAAATGCTTTTAATGGAAGATTTTGTTTCTTCCATTGATATATGAACCACAGGTTCACTCATTTGGCATGGCCATATCTGCTGAATTTGATTGAGAAATTATGAGATACAGGAACAAAAAACAACCTATGAAGATATTGGTGCAATACTATCGTCTTTATTTTTTAAGTATTCCACAGTTAGATTTCAGAGCATCCATTAAAAATTGAATACGTAGACCGTAGTTACAGAAAGGACTAGAAGCCGACTTTATCTACTGGTCCGCTGCACAAAATAGACATGTATATAAGCTTGGATGGTAATGTATACATTTCTTCTCTAAAGCCACTCAAAAACTGGAGGCAAGAGTGCTCAGCTCTCTAACAAATAACATCCCTGAATTTATTTTATGACATCAAACACTGAAGATCTCTGAAATATGCTAATGAAAGTTAGGTCAAACATCTCAAAAAAAAAAATGGAAGCTGCGTAATCACATATTGTAAAGAATTTAATCAATGCTCATCAAAATTTACGTTTGTACAAAGCTATGGTCCCAAACATGAACCACTATGGAACATATTGATACCAATGTATCTTAGATTAGTTAGCTTCCATACCTTGAAAAGAATTATGTCAGGGGCACTTTCATATCGATGAGAAGAACGAACACCTTCATCCTTATTTGGATCACCTGTGAGCATCCACTCCTCGGCAATAGAAACAGCAGAGAGCCGATCCTGGCCATCAGCAGAGTACAATGAGATACGGTCTTCTTGAATACCAGCCATTGCCTCCCAAGCAACTCTTTCAGATGGTGTTAATCCAGAGCTCTTTCTTTTCCTATAAGCATCCTTTGGAACAGTCTTATCTCCAGTATTGCGTGGAGTCCAGGAAAAAGCTCTGCGAGCCTCCTTTTGCAAGTTACTAAGGCTGTTACTGAAGGATGATCGTGTAGGTGTGCCTTGTCTCATCTTCTGCTTTGCTCTTGGACCAGAAACTGATATTCGAGGTTCTCTGGAAGGAGAACTGATACTGACAGCAATAGCTTTGGCAGCATATGCAAGAATTATGCCGTTATCTCTCAACGAAGGAAATTCTTTAAGAATCTGCAGACAAATGTTATTCAGACTAGACATTAGACGTGTGAATTAGTATCCAGAAAAGAATAGGCATATGCTCTCATTCATGACTGTTAGTTAAATAACCAGGTACCAGAGAAGCAGATTGCAGTTGTTTCCTCATTAGCAATACTTCCAGAATCAAATGAGGGTGCTCATGAAGGGAAGAGCACCTTTGTTGCCAGGGCAACGGCAATGCAGCCAAGACACGAAGACCTAATGCCCATGAGTTAAGCCGGGACACCTCAACTTCCGACAAATTACTATCTCTTCTCTTCAGGAAAAAGTGAACCTTCATTGAAAAATAATACCAAACTCTAGTTCAAAACTAAGTGCCATTGAACTTAAAGCAATCAATTGGTCTAAACCAAAAAAGGGGAAAGAAAAAGAATGTTCTCAACAAAACAATCACTTACAAGAAGCTGCTTTGTACGCAGGTTGGGCAGTAGCTGCATTGCACTCATTGCAACTGGTAGAGCATCATCAGTATCACGAAGTGAGGAAAGAAAGCGTGAAGCTTCTGCAGGACCTCCTCCATTTAGAGGGTCTGCAGTAAGAAGCTTCACAAGCTGACGCCCTTGGAGTTCTCTTCGCAGTTCAATTGATAGTCCAGCACTTTCAGCCACTTCTAAAGCAGCAGAAACAGCTCCTTTCCCAGCTAATCGAAGGGCCAGGCCCTCAGGATCTTCCCTACACTCTGCCTCAACCTGACAAATCCAACAGAGTGGAAAGGATAACAATTAAGGTAAAACAGAGATGAAACATAAGTATTGACTCTGCACAAAAAGTTCAATTCAATTATTTCTGCGCTCATTTTGACCTCTTGCCAGCTATTGTAGCGATTGTCTGCACATAAAATGTGTTTGTGCCTCAGCAAAGATTGCCTCATCAGAACCACCTAGTCAAACAAAAGATGTAAGTAATTAAACAAAATGAGTGAGCCCAGTACTATTTCTGCAACAATAGGTACTACAAGCAAGTGTATTCCACATCAAAACAAAAAATTTCAGTGTTAATACAAACTTTACACCAAAATAGCATATCATAAATTGCATCAGGTACCTCATTCTTAATAGGATCACTCTCAGGCAAATGGCAGCTGCACATGGTGAGAACATCCAAAGCAGCATCCAGCTCCCACCGATGCAAATATCTGAAACAGAAGTATGCAACATTTAGGGAAAAGGTCACAAGTCCACTGACAGTAGGCATAAGCAGATACAAGGGAACACTTTAGCAGTTACAAAGACTTTTGCTATGATTTATCAAAAAATATTTTGTTGATTTTTTTTTGCCACAACCAAATAAGAGAAGCTAGAAAGTGTCTAGAATTTTGGAAGGTTACTAAAAATTGAAGCATTCCCATCACTGTACAAAAAATCAAATAACAGAATCAGCTTTGAATTCGAAGATATTAAATGGAACAGGCAGAAGGAGAAAACCAAAGCTTTTCCATCATAAGACATTGTATTCACATAAGTTCCTACACTAAAGAGTTTATCAAAATAGAGGAGGAAATGCTGTAGTCAACATACTTGAGGGCAAGTCTAGCTGCCAGTTGTTTATCCTTCAACCTTAGGCAATACTGCCAACTATTGCTCCAAATGCTATGGCCTGTGTAACTTTGAGATTGTCCAGAGACTGAAGTATTCTCTTCTCCACGTTCAACGAGTAGCTCAAGTAACTGGTCCGAGGCTCCATTGCGTAAGCAGCGATCGGAAAGAGCAAGAGCATCCATCAATTTTCCTTCATCAATCAATCTGTCAATGACGAATTATCCAAAATTAGGTAAAGAATATGTGCTTAATTTTATGTAATATGATATATAATATTTACTCTATTCACACTATAAAAGCATTAAACATGTCGAACAGGGAAAGAGCTTCCAAATTAAAAGAGAAAAATAAAATAAAAAGGAAAAGGCCACATCCAATGACATAAGCTTGGTTTTCCATTCCTGTATATTAATTCTCTCTGCTTAGCATCCCTGTGGCTAGGAAATTGGAGAAGATAATGAGGATGAGGAATTTTCTTTGGTCAGGTATGTGATAGAGAATCGGATAGATCATTTAGTGAGTGGGGAAACAACTTGTAAGTATAGTCTCCAGAAGTATTTGTGGGATACTAAAACAAGGCATAATGTTACTCATATGAGGCTGGATAAGGGTCGAGCCGTCAAAAATTCTTTTTTGGAAGATACTTGTGCCAGTCTTTCATCGTTTAAAACTACTTTTCAACATTTGTATCATCTTTCCTTGCTCCATGTTGCTCCAATTCTAGTTTCCATGTGGTGGGGGGAAATTCTTATTCTTGGGATTTCCATTTCTTTAGGCAACTTAATGATAGGAGAAACATAGGATCTAGCTTTCTTTGCTAGACACACTTCACAATTTCCAATCTTCTTAACCTTGTAAATTTTCTTATAAATCTTTTTGCATCTATCTCGTAAGTTCCCCAAATGCACAGTGCTTTTCTTTATATAAACTCATTGGGAAAACAAAAGTCAAGCCTTTTGTTAGCTGTGGATACTGATGATGTGTTATAAGTGAGGAAATCTTGTTAAGCTTTGAGTCCGGATAGTTGTTTAAGTCATTGCTTAATTTTCCCTCTTTTCACTAACCTAGGAAGGAATCGCGTTCCTTTCTTCTTTACCGACCAAAGCCACAGAATTTCAGAGGAGTCTATTTGTTGGATTATCAACAGAATTGGAAGGTGATTATCTTTAGTGCTCTTCTCTGTTTTCTTCTTTTTTTTTTACTTCCAATTTTACGTTGTACCTTTTTTTTCAGTTTTCTACCTTAATAATATTCTTCTTCTGAGCCCAACAAAAAAAAAAAAAAA